CTCTGACCGCGAGCAACGATTTTTCTGGCTTTTCTTTCCCCGGTTCTCGTTCCTCTCTTTTTTCCACGTCCCTTTTCCTCTACTTACTCTCTACGTTTCATCGGTTTCAATTCGAACCCCTTCGCAGTACGTGTCTATAGAGAATATATCCGTACGTATATATGTATGTATGTATGTATGCATGTGTGTATGCGTTACACGTGCTACGTATGTATTTATATACGTATACAGACGAGGCTCAGCCGAAATGGCAGGGCGGGAAACCCGATTTCATTCGATGTCGGGCTTCCACGCGGAGCTTTCAGCCAAGGGTGGACGAAGAAAACTCCGCCTGTTACCGTAAACAACAATAAAAAGCACACAATGGTTTTTTTGTAAAATAACGAGATTTTATATTTACAGAGGAAAGTACAAGTACGTGTGAAAAATTGCTTGCAAGTTACACTAATTTATAAAGAATAGCTCTTGCCTATCATCAACTAAACCTGATGAAACAAATGAAACGCTTCCCATCATTCCAAAATCTCCTATCTACTATAATAAATTTAATAATGTATCTAACAAATGTACAATAATTGTATTCGTCATACAATGAGCTGATAATGTAACCGAATAATTTATTACCGCTGATCACTCTGAAAAATTAGGGAGAATCGTATTATTTTCCTACGTGAATAGCAATACGTATTGCTCTTCGATTATAGTTTTCATTTCGGCTGACCCGCAGTATACACTTCTGCGTATAAATAACGATCTTTAGGCGATCGTCAGTGAAACGAGACAAACGGCCGTCGATCCTTCGAGTGTCGCGCGAGAAATAAGAATTTTTACTGATCAGAGAGAGAAGCGTAATTACATTCCTTACTGTTCACAGCGCAAATACGTGCGTACGCCTAACGCAGACCTAACAACATCGACGTCGGTAGACCGCAACAAATTAATTAGAAAGCACTCGAAATCGATCTGAATTATTGCACAATGAATCATTTGATTTTCGGTACGATCGATTTAAAGCTGTCCGTAAACAGCTTCAGGTCTGCGTCAGGCGATTGCAACATCGATTTTTGAAGAAACGTCACTTCCTTCCATCGAGTTCATTTTCCACAACCCTGCTCAAGCGTTTGGATAATTTCTAAGCGTCTCCTTCGATCTACTACGCACATGTACACCGAAGCACGTTTTACAATCTACTTTACAATAAAAACTTCGCGCCTCGAAACACGGTTTAACAGCCTAATTCCCCGGCTCCCTCTCAACTGTTCCCCTCACCTGTTCGTCTCCCGGTAAAAAAGGATCACACGAATTTTGATTTTCCATCGATCACAGTACTTTCGCAATTAATTTTTCGAGTTCGCACGCCTTCCCTGGAAAGGGGGAAGCCGCCGAGACGCTAAGGTGCCTCTAATTAGTATCGATCAGTCGGCCAATCGAACCCTGAATCCCATGCCCGATCGTTCAGGCGAAACTCTCTTATCTACAAGGATTAGCCTGCTCGAGAAACACTTTCAAAGTTTGTCCAAGTGTCTGCATTGCTGCCGCAGAGCCCTCTGCGAAGACGAGAAAACGACGTACGAAAGGAAAAGGAATGACTCGCGCCGTGTCTCACTTTTTCTTCTCTTTCCCAAAATGTGTTCGCAGCTACTTTTGTCGGAGACTAGTTTGCGGAAGACTTTGACGTGCTATAAGTATTAAATAGACCTTACACGTTAAAATTACATCTGACTACCGTCGTCCGTTCTGTTCTCGAATCGGCTATGCGAATCAGCTCGTGCGCACCGGTGAAGTAACAGTTAAGAATCGATTATAATTTTTACCTAGAGATCCTCGCGTAGTTGTAGTTAAGAGGTAGTGTAATATCATACATCGAGAGAGAAGTTTCCGTCAGCATTTTCGTTTCATCGACAACAGAGCTCTTCCGCCGAAAATCCGCTTTTTCCTTTGTTTTTCCTCTGAGGGGGATTGTCTTTGTGACACTTAAACGACGTGGTGTCTCGATGAGCAATCTTTAATTATCTCTACTCGGTTTAACCTTAATAAGTTCGTTAAAAACGCTTCGTTTAATTAGAAGTTAAAATACTACGGAGTGAGTGGAGAGAAAAGTTCCTCAAATCGGACTTCGAGAATCGTCTCCTTTGCGTTTATTTCCTTGCCTCCGCGGTTCAAACGTCGCCAGCTTGTCGTCGACGATATTGCATTCAAGTCGTGCATCTCCTCAACGAGGACTTTTCGTTCCTTGCTCGAAGTTCGAATATTAATAAAGAAATCTGGAATTATTTTTTTATATTTTTTGGAAAATAAAACAAATCATTGAATTTTTGAGTCTCTAATAAAATTTAATTGTCGATGCAAAATCGTCCACGAAATCGAACAATTCTCAGTCGACTCTACTTCGTTCTCGTTTCTCTCTTTTCGAACAGCTTACACAAAAACGGGACACTCGAAAAATCGTACGCCGCCCGGATGTCCGGAGACAATTTCTATTCTCATCACCCTGTACATTACGCGCTACTATGACCCTATTAGCGTATCAACCTTTTAATTAATGGAATTCTTTTTTTCTATTATTTCTTAAATTTCTTGTTAATCCTCCCCCTTCTTTTTTTATTCTGTTCTCTCTATTCGGGAACGATTCTTCACAGAAGTCGCCTTAGTCGTCGACGTTGCAATAACGTCGTAGAAAGAAAAATGTCAACGCTCCTTCGTACACGCTGAGAATTAGTAATTTAATTTAATAATAAGTTATTATTCATGTATTTATTATAATTATTATTGTTACCATTATTAAATATTATTAATACTAGCTGTTATTAAATATTATCATTGTCTCTCTCCTTCTCCGGATTTTATCGTTATTGGTAGTAATTTTTAATTAATTATAAGATTAATAGTTTATAATGACAAACCCGCGTGTGACAAGCTGAGTTTAATATATATATATATGTGTATATATATATATTCATTTTTCATTTAATTAAAGGCGCAAGGTTTTGCGTTAATCCTCACTAGTCTCTCTCCTTTCTCCGTTTCCTATTTCCTCTCTCCTTACTGTTCACTCTATAGATTCATTTAAACACGTTTTCCTTATTGGTAACCAAGTTCATGATACGAGAAACTATGAGTCGACACTCTGACTTCTGAAAAATGTTTCTGTTTTATATAAGTAAAATTTACAATAGTGTATTAAGGATAGTAGATTCTATAGTAGTAGCTACAGATAAAACAGAAGCGTTTGTGGAAGTGAGAGTGTCGGAGTATGGCTTTGGTTGGACATTTGTATTGCGGTAGCATGGAGTCATTACCTGGAAATCGTAGTGATTTAGACTAATTCACTAGTAGGTAATATGATTATTAATTGTATCGTTATAAAAAAGCTCAATGAAGATTTGGAAATTCCTATTTTAATAGTAGAAGGAAATCGTGAAGATCGTGAAGTAGTTGCGATATTTTTAATAACTGAGAACTATTGCTTAAGAATCAGAGTCATGCCACTATGATTCCCAGGCCATCAGTTTTACCAATAGGACAACGCTCTCGTTTTCATTTCGTTATTTTCATGTACAGCTCTGGAACGTTCGAGGACGTCACTGTTTTAAAGATCGCAATTTTAATTATAAGAATATTTAATGGGAAATATTTAGAAATGATTTGCTTGTATTTTTGAACTTTTCAATCACTTTTCATGTGAATCGATATTTGACGAAGAGGAACTTTACGTGTAATTTCCGACAGAATTTCGTTGAAGAGGAGTTCTCCGTTCACAAGATATTCGCGAATCGAACTCGATAAGAAAAAAAACCACACACAAAAAAACGGGAAGTCTAGTTTGAAAGTTCCTCATCAAAGAAAACTCGCAACTTCATCCGTGGCTGAACTCGGCTGGATACAAAGGACATTATCCCTTCCACCGGCGAGAGAAACCTCGCCGGAAATCGAACGCCACGAATTTCTTTTAGTTCTACATACGTGACGTCGCTCGATCACGTGCATGAAATCGCGTTCCTCTGTTCGACGTGTGTCGCGCGTGATTTTTCACACATCCTTTATTTTCCTCTTTTTCCGACTCTCGGCAGGGAAGCCTCGTTCCTCGTGCTGTTTCATCGAGTTCAAGAAGGTGGAAACATTTCGGCAGCACGCGTAATTAAAATCCTGCGGCATCAGCACGATGGAAAGACAGAATTAGAAAAAGAAATCGGGTCGTCACAATCTGTCTAAATTTAAACCTCGTTTCTTCCATTCTCACTCGTTCGATTTTCGTCGATACGTTTTCCATTACACGTGTAACATTTGAATCATTTTAAAGTTGCCGAATATGTGAACGAAAAGACTCCCTTTTCCCGATAGTTATTCTCTTCAATTTCTAATTATTTATAGTTTATATGATTTTCTACCACTTTTTTAACCGTTGTAGTAATTTACGAATTAATTCGTCTATCGTGTCTGCTTTCGACTCGACAATTTTTCTATCGTCTCGTCTAATTTAATCGCTAAGACCCTGAATCTCGTGAACAGCTTGAACGTTGAAAGTACACTCGTACATTAATTTATCCTCGCCTCAGGTTTACGACCCCTCGTTAAACCTCGCAGCTTAAAAAACAATAAACGAGCACCTGTGAGCAACGAATAATTCTTTCTTCGATCAATCCCCTCCTTCGTTCTCCTTTTCCATCATCTCCTTTTCTAATAGTATATCGTTAAACCATGTCCTTTTATATTCAGTGAGCAATTCGTTTCGAATTCCAACTTGACTTCGATATGTGGCAACAAGTAAGTAAATTTTCACAGAACAATTATAATAATTTCTTAATTAGTCGAACGCTCTTTTTTTTATTGAGTCGCCCTCGTATTACTCCGTCCTTTAATTCCCTAGTAACGTCGGAACTTCAAGGGCTAACCGTTTCTATTATCATTTTTATCACTGTTTTTTTCCTAATACTGCCCATTAACGTCTTCGCGTCACTCTCCGACTTATTATTTATGTATTTAATTATTTCTTTCGTTTCATCTCTCTCTCTCTCTTTCTCTCTCGCTCTCTCTCTCTCTCTCTCTCTCATAAGGACTAATTAATACAATTACTGTCGATAGGCTCGATGTGTTTACTTCACGGGTTAACAATTATTAGCGTTTTAATTTGATTACGTTAACATTTGTTTAGATACGATTAAAAATGATTTCGCGACGCGCGAGGCGGGCCGACCGCTCCGGGGCCAATTTCATTTAATTTATCGACACGTGCTACCACCACGCAGGATTAATCGCGCAGTTTTCAACAATTTTCTCGTGGATATCCTATTAACACGTTTTTAACAGCTATAAATAATCGCTATATATTTTTACCCGTAGTGTTGCGATATATTACTCCTTTACACATTGCTTCTCGATGGATCCGGTTTTAGTACCGCTCGGTGCAATTATTAACTCATTAACGTGACGCAAATTCCGCTAGATACCGTCCCCCGGCGCAATTAAATTTGATTCACGTCCGAATCCGATTTTTTGTTCAACGTGTACGTCCGACTGGTTCGGTATAAATTAATTTAAAGGTCGCATTGTCATTTGGGACGTTGGCCACCGATCGTTTCGCTTAAATTGGCCACCGGACAGGTCGGATCGCGTTTCTTTCTTTCTCATTTCTTTTTTTTCTCGTTTTTTCATAATAATAAATCGTCGACATGCGGCGTCTTTCCACCAACTTGAACTACAGCGTACGCGTTCTGCGGAAAAGAAATGAAGGAGAAACCCGGCCACGGTTTGCCGTTCGTTTCACGTTCAACGTCCGATTAAGAGAATCTGGAAAATATTTTTACCGCGTAACGGATCCGTCAAGACCGTGGCGATTCTTAAAACCTTTCTCACTGTTACCCTCTGACGTAATATAGTTGCTCTTTTATTACAGGCCTCCTCGTTTCCTCGACGCAATATGCGCGACGAGCTTTAAACTTTTGAACGTCGACTTTTCCGCGAATCCCTTAAATTTTTTTTTTTCGTTAATTATTTTATTTTGCTTCTCTAATGAGTCACTCGCTCGAGATAACCGCGATAGTTTTAAACGTATTTTTTTTTCAGTTTAGTCTTCCCCTACGTAATACTGTATTCTACCGAAACCTCCCGGCGCGAACCATTAAGAACTTTAATTAAATTCATTAGTGTAGTTTAATTAGTTTAGCTGATTTAAAGATCGAGAATGGATTATTTCCACCAATCGAGGCGTTTATCGATTATACTTTATATTCTCTACGTTTATTTATTTATTTATTTTTCATTAATCGTTCCTTTAACATCATTAACAACGTGGTTTTTTTTTGGTAATTATTATTGTTTAACCATTATAATAATATTTAAAAGATAACGTGATTGGTTGTCGCGTCAATGCCAATGGCCAAAACGTGCTATAATAATCTGTTTTTTTTTTTTTAAATATCTTTTTTTCCGCTTTTTAGTTGCATTTTATGTCTTCAACAAAAACCCGCCTGCGAGACTATCCGTTAACGAGATTCCGATGTTACTTTTATTTTTCTGTCAGTCGCGATGACAATGCTTCCTCCTGTCCAATTGTCGAGTCCATCTTTATTTTGTTTCTCCACCCGTCTGTCCTCTCTTTTTTTTTTTAAACACGGTAGACCAGATTGCTTGTTTAATTCTCTTCAATTTCGTCATAGATCTCATATTTTTGTACGAGAGGAATAAATTAACCTGGCTGTCTAATTCTATCGTTTCGTAATTCTTCAAATCGTGTGCATTAAGGATATTGGATTTGTCGCGCCTTCGACGGGATCGTACGAGGTCGTAGAAACTTAGGCGTGCGCGTGACTAAAAGGTGGACAACAGCTACGGTATGAAACGTAACGCGTCGCTTAGAAAACTCGAAGACTCTCACAGCTCGCGCAGACAATCCTGTTTCCCAAAGACACCGAATCCGCGTTTCCGGAAATTCCGTGTCGCGCCACGAACTTAAATTAATTACTGGAATATATACATGTATATTAATTACTGAGCATTTGTATATATTGACTAAAATGTTTCTCGCTTCCAGATTCGTGGCTGACCGAAATTTCACAAAATAATCAAGATTCTTGTAACTCGTACAAAGACAATAGACATAATCATTCGATATTCTTATTAAACTGAATTAAATAATAATGATTTATCTAACGATACGTACAGTCGGGATTGGAATAATTTTCAACAGAAAAGCACAAACGAAATAATTGAAGATCTCGAAAAATTGAGATCCACCCTTTCTGGACCTTCGATTGCTTTCAGACAAATGATTATGTTTCTTTAATTCAAGAATCTAATTTGTGGCAGTGCAATGGTGACGTCAATTTGCAGGAAAGAAAACCTATTTAGTATTCAAAACAATTCTAACGTACATATGTTCTTCAACTTATCTTTTCAAAGTCACATCGATCCATTCTCGTTTGTACGCAGTTACAATTAATACAACAATTATTCATTTATAACGAAATCAAAAATTGAATGAATCTATTTCTATCATTTTTATATTCTTGTATCCCTGGGAGAAGGATTTGGCTTTGCGGGCGACACAAATATACAACTCAATCGGAACAGTCGCACGTCCGTTGACGGATAATCCGGAGTGGGGAGGTTGGGGGGTTGGGGATGGGTTGGGGCACGTCGACAGAGACGAGCTGCAAAATGGTTTGGCCATTTAGGGCGAATAGCGTGCGGTCAAAGAGCAAGAGAATTATTCAAGGATCAGGCTTCGGCTATTAGCTCGAGATCTCTGCAGTAATTTTCACAGATCGTCGAGCAACGAGTCGACTCACGACGAACCGGCGGCGGGGCGGCCTGTTCATCGAACGAACTGGGCAATGAGAAAAAGCGAGTGCCCTGACCGGTCCGCCGGAAATCTCGTTCGGGAACTTATTTAATTTTAAAAGGAAGCCGTGTCGTCGTTGTAAAAAAAAACAGGTCGGGACTCGCTTCGATCCAAGGCGACCCGACTTAAAAAAGTAAATGCACGCTGAACGGTTGCCTCGAGTCGCCTTGGAACCGTTCCCCGAGTCCCGGATCGCGAAAGAAGACGCCTCTTGTTTCGTTTTTTATATTTCATCAACGGTTTGCCTTGAAATCGTGCAATATCTTGTTTCTTCGAATCTGTCAATTTGCCAATACGTTCTCAACGATAAAATTCTCCTGTCCATAGGATAATAAAATAAATGAATATTCGATACGATTCAATCATCCACAAACGAATGTTTCCTGTCATTCATGTGTCAGATGATCGTTGACGATTCCAAGGCAAACCACGGTCAGTCGGTCGACTGGAACCGGAAGTCTCGCGTGGATCTCGAGGATGCGAAAGCCTGCTTCCCTAGAACGTTTAGATTCGAAGAAAGTGTGTATACGTGTTCATACGTGTGTTCCGCGTGTCACCTGTTCGTTTCTGTGTGTGCGTGTACGTGTCCTCAAGATTATTCTATGCAACAGAGTGCGCGGTGTCTACGTTTCTTCTCAGTGTTAGTGTCCGTGAGAGAGAGTGTGTAACCGTGTGTGCGCTTGTACAAGCGTATTACAGAGGGACAACAAACGATGTCCGCCGATAGAAGGGAAAGAAAACGCGTGGAAGAAAAAAAGAACACGTGAAGAGAGATGCTGCGCTATAGAAGTCAAATCGTCGTGTAATCATCGTCACCATCATCATCATTATCATCATCATCATCACCAAGACTACTCGGTTCGTGTACCCGTCATCATCCCGCTTGCCTTTTGCCGGATTCTTTTTCTCTTACGAGCTAACAAAGAACAATATTTTTATTTATTTATTTTTATTTATTCATTTTTTTGGTTGGTTTCTTTTAAACGTCGCGCTGTCGCACGCCACCTTATAATCGCAGTATAAATCCTTCGTTTTTTATTTATTTATTTATTTATTTATTTAAGTTGTCGTCGATTTTTTTTTACTTACTAGTGATAATAAAATTCTCTGGCATTTTTTTATATCATCTTGGCAGTTCATTGTATGTAGTTATTATTCTTTACTTATTATTCTCTTTTTTTGTTGCTTTTTTTTTTCATTTTTCAGAATATTTAACGTGTGCGCTTTGCTCTTAATCGTGTGTGTATCCTCATTCCCTGTTTCAAATTCGCTTTTCTGTTTTCTCTAGTTTTTTTTATAAGCACAATAAAAGGAGCAGTGTACCCTTCTTCAGCTTCTTTCTCTTGTTTATATATATATATATATATCTCTTTTTCTCCCTCTCTTTTTCTCTCTCTCTCTTTATCATAGCTCTCTTTCGCAACAAGATTCTCACACTGGCAACCAGGACCGAATGAAAAATTGTTTCATGGTCGTCGACCATAACTTGATTTATCTTTTTAACAAATTCAACCGCAACGACAATCCTCAGTGCTCTATACTCTCTGTCTCTTGTATCTTTGAGCGTATGTTAATGTGTGCATGTAATGCGTGTAGGTGCGCGTTTCACACGCGGTCACGCGCGATTTTTACATCCCGTGCAAACGATAGCAGAAGCGAGTCTCGAAGGCGACTTTATTAAACGAAATTTTCACACAGCATTCACTGAAGAACGTCAGTTCTTCAAATTTTATTTTTGTTTTGGAATTAATGCCAGATGTCTCAGTATTGATAGTGCAAGGAGATGATTGTATATGAGAGAATAAGTCGGATAATAAATTTTCTTTCATTTCAGAATTTCATTTCTTTGTTTTCAAGAAAATTGACTTTAAACTTCCTTCAGTTACGCATCCATTTGACTCTGTCGTGGGTAAACGAATGTCGATACAAAACATATTCTGTATGAGTAATAATAAAGCACGAAATATTTAAGATTTATTTTATTAATTCATTCGTTGAAAATGTATACTGCGTTCATAAATACGCACTCCAGATTAAATTTTCGTGCACGAATTTTCAATTCCCAGAACGGCAAAATGATCCTCGCTTTTAATTGCGGAAGAGTTATATTGCCTTCGGAATAAACGTTTGATTTAATAAGACCCCATAGATCAAGATCAAAGGGTTCACGTTTTTATATAAATGGTAAGTAATTGTTTGCATCGAAATTCATTTAACTACGATATAGTTAAGTGCATGTGTACTCGGAGGAAATTCGAAGCTGATTTTGTCGAAAACAAAATCTCAAATGAAACAAATTTATTCCATACCTTCGACTTACTTCCACATATACAATCATTCCTAAGGATGGGATCGAGTACCTCGCAAATGGGTTCGAACATTCATTAATTGAATTCGAACTCTCTATAAATACTACGGAAAATAAAAACAGAACTCCTAAGTACAGGCGAACCTGTGCCAGACAGTTTCGAACCTTTCACAAGTAGTTTGGTAAACGGAAGCAACGCTTCCAAGCACACTCGAATTTTAGTCGAACTTATTCGAAACTTTTATAAACATCGCACCAGAAAGTCTCCGGTCTTTCTATTCATTACTCTTTCTTACTTTTAAAATCAATTATGCTGTCCTTTAATGTTCAATCTAATTCAACATTAGAGTTTCATAATTTATCGGATTTTCACAAGGGCACATATCCTGTGAATTGTAAGTTTCAGCATCAGTAATGACAGTCATAGCCTCCACTCTGTAGCCATTTCTGTACTTTTAGAAATAGTATTTTCAAAAACAGGATATGTCATTGTTAAAAAATGATCTAGGCTAAAATCAAGTATTGTAAATGAAGTATTATTCTTAAATAATTATGAATTTAATAAATAGAGTGTTTAAAATCAACTATGTAATTCTGATTTCCAAGATTCGAGTACTACTTACGAAAGATTCAATCTCTTTCAATATCGAAGAACTTATAAGTATTTTTTCGAAACTTGTAAGCATTCATTCTGAGGTTCGATATCAATTTATATAAAGTGAATACTTTTCAAGTATAATCATTAAAATATTATTGCTTTTGAGTACTAATCGGAACCTATGAAATGAAACTTATTCGCATAGGATTCGTGAGTACATGTCGAACTTGATCCCATCCCTAATCAACCCCTCGACGGTCTTACAATACTGGGCCATCCAATTCTCCAAATTCGAGAGTAAAAAGCAAACTGTTGATTGTTATTGGCGATCTACTGTAAAGTCGCTTTGAGCTCGAATCGAAAGGAACTCGAATATCGGCCGATCGATCGTCCGCGTTCCAGGTCTCGAACAAGGAACAAATACGCGTACAAGGGATGCGCATACCATACCTCGGCGTGGCTGGCGTGTTCACTGGCTGTGTATGCGTGTACTCTATGTTCGCGTGTATGTATGTATGTGTGTACGTGTCTGCGTGTATGCGCGCGCGCGAGCGCTTCTGTTATCAGTGTCCCTTTTAAACTGGCCGTTAAACTCGGCGCAGCAATTTATATCAAGTCTCGCTAAGGCGTCCTCTTCGAAATGTGAACTACTGTGATGAGATATACCGTTTTGCTTCCGTTTCTGTTATTTCGTTTTATATCGTAAATTAATACGAAGAGCCTAGTGTCCTCTTCCTATCCCGGTGCGGATTATCCCGAAACGAGGCGTAACATCGACACACGACTCCGAGTCTCGAACAGCCGGCCGTCCAACCGCAGGAGAAACGCCGTCGCCTCTGCCACGATCCACTCGGCGAGCCGTTCTCTCTTCCAGCCACCGTAACAGTCGGTATAGTCATCGTCATCGTCACTGTCACCGTCGTCGTCGTTGTCGTGGAGTTCGCGTACCTCGCCGTCCTCCGCACCGATAATGCGCAACGCACGATCCTCGTCATCGACGACCGACTTTCCGTCGGCCGCCTGTGCTTTTCTGAATCACGTGACGATGATGTGCGGCGCCGACAGTAGGACGGTGATGGTTGCGATGATGGTGAACAGAGTAAAAATGATTAGGCACATTCTGTCGATCACCATCGCCGCGAACTTCCAGTCGTTCGTCACTTTCGTGTTCTCCTCCTCGCTCTTCAGCTGATCCGTGATTATCTGCAACAGGGGAAACACGTGCGACCGTTCATTTCCTCATACGAAGCGATTATTAATGATTACCACAGGGCAGCTGTACCATTTGTGGTCACTCCACCATTTGTCACCAATACCTTGTTTATTTCGATATGTTAGATATTCTGGTGTTAGTTTTATTGAAATGAATATATCTGCAGAAGCCTGGTATGTTGGTATCGTTATCTATGTCTTCTCACTCTTAGTACTCCATTATTTTGTTTTAATTAACACATTACGCGCTATGTCAGTCACTGGTGATTGACAATGTTCAACCGTTATTTGTTATTATATGATACGGAAACTGTTAAGGTGGCCACAAATGGTACATCGAGTCTAATTGATTAGAATAGAAGTTGTCTGGATCAATAATTAACCTCCATAATTGTGACGATTATCCTATTAAAAAAAAATCAGAATAAAATCGACTCTCTTTTTGAATCTTTAAATCCGAGGATTTTCAGATTACATTTGGTAATTAGGAATCCCTCGCGGGCGCTTGAAATTACGCCAGGCACATTCCTTTCCCAGCCAGAATACATTAATACAAAGCTCCGCGATAATATGCGCATGAGAGTTCTAATTTATCCTCTATCACTGTCTCCTTTCTGAACTTGCGTCGGTGCGCGACCTCCTAAACTCTCTCGCTGGTATCCTATGGGATCAATCTGCGAAACATTTGCATGCAAAGGTGTAGGTTCTCTGATCGTGAATAATAATCACCGCGTGAGAGGGTAATTGTAACTTTGATCTGACCAATTAGCAAACAACCATTAACATTTGAAGAGGAATGATTGGACAACGTTGTTAATAATCAGAACAAGTAATACGTCAGTACCGTGGAAAGCAATAATATATCGCGGATTGATTGAACATCTGTAATGCTTCGAAATGCTTACGGAATTTGAATTATCAGTATGACTGTCCATAACTGCATAGCGGAATACGCGAACTTTCCGTTTAATATTCAACTTGTAATCACGAGCGCCGATAGGTTTCGAGTGTTTGACTTTCGAGTATCAGTTCTGACTCGGGAATTAGACAGGGGATGGGGGTCGTTTAATAACCCTGTACAAACAGTCATTGGAAAAGGGAGAATGGTTTCGCGTTCGTCAGCAAACTATTCACATCATGCGACAGAAGGGACAGAAATACAAGTTTATTCGTCATCGAATGGCAAGATAGAACAAGAAAAGCAAAGGCCAGAATACTTAAAAAGAAAAAACAAAGAGATAAGATGATAGAAGAGATTTATATGTGGAAGTAATGAAAATGTGAGTACAAGGAAACAAGTGTCGCATATGCTTGAAAGATCCAAGAACGTTAGAGCACGTTTGTGTAGGAGCAATGGCAAACGCAGAAACACTGAAATGAAACTACTACTACAAAGAGCAAGATATAAAAACGTTTATTCTACTGAATATCTTTTTTCTCTTATTTTTATGTAATGTATTTTATGTGATTCATTGCATGACCCATGTACTCTATCATACGACCAACTCGCACCATTTAAACGCAAGAAATACTTGCTTACATCATGTAAATCCAAAAGAGAATTTTAATCTATTTGGGAATCGTACCTTAATTTCTTTTAGGATCATGACGAGCTCGTTTCGGGCACAGAAACACGCATTTTGTAGTATCGTTTCGACTTGGGGTCCAGGCGTGTCCGGCGGATGTGGATGATGGTGCGGCGTGTGACTGATCGGGATCGGACCCGGGTAAGAGGAGTGTCCCAGTGGCGTCGCGTGTTGATGATGCGGCGTCGCTGCGTGGCTGTGATGATGATGGGGCGTCGTGTGTATGTGACTGTGCCCGTGGCCCATCGTGTGATGGTGCGGCCCGGGCGTACTGTACACGTTGTTTAGGAGATTATTGTGAGACGCCAGAGCGTTGTCCTCGAGGTCCAGGACATTCGCTAGGAGGGACTTGCTGCTCCTTTGACGAAGCTCCAGGTCACCGTGACTCTTACCAGCGCCTGGTTCGATCCAGTAAATCGATTAGTAATAGTTGATTAACGCAGTTCAAGATTCAGAGACAAATGATACAATGATCAAACATAAGATTTTTTTATAGAAAAGAGATCAATTCTGTGTCTTATGCCATTTACTCATACAAATCTTGATATATTTATGATCAAATAGAATGGGATTTGGGATTACAAACAAGTTATTCATGAAATTCTACAGAAACTTAAAAGATTTAAAGAACACCAAAGGACATGTCGAAAGACATTTGAAATGAGTATGAAATACTTTCTAAAGGAGACAATATTTATAATATAGTACAAAATAATAAGAAATTGTTCGGATGGAAGAATGAATGATTATACAGTTTCTGGCAACATTTTACTTTCTCAGGGACATCTCCGTGTTGAAATTATTTACACGCATGCACACGACTTGAGACAAGTCAGGTGTGCTTCGACGTGTATTGTGCATATTATTTTATAACAGGTATAGTGAACGTGAAAGAGTTAGTGTTCGGTGTGGCACAATAAAACATTTATACATCACAGATAGTAATAAATGTTGTCAGTACTTAAGTCGATGCTTTTGCGACTAATTATGTCGATGCTTTTTCGGGACGCTAAATTACCGATGACTGGAGACGGTTTTTGAGACTTTTGCGCCTCTTTTTCTTCTTTCTCACTTGGTCGTGACATACGAAGTATACAAGGCAGCCAATAAAGGAATACCACTCTCACCTGAAAGTCGAAACTTCGAAGTTACATCCATAAAACATAATAAATAGACTATATTTTATACATGATTGGAAAAATTTTATATTTGTTGTACAGGGATAGAGAGATATAACCACTTCGATTTTCGTCATTATTGTTCAATTCAATGGTAATACTTCATCAATCGGTGCAGGAAAAATTATACAATCCCACTTTTAAAAATGTTAATGACCTTCATATCTCTACAAAACAGCTTACACCAGGATGTGTCTCTCTTTAAATCATTCAATGTTATATAAACATGCTTTGCTACGTATAATAATAACAATGAAAATCGAGGTGATCCACCCTGTATCCCCACAGCATTAAACTTGTACGTTCTTTAATTTCAATAATAGTGGAATCACTCTTAGAAATTTTTGGTAGCAAAGGAAAAAAGTTGTTCTGCACTGCTTACCCATTCGGACATTTCGTGGGTGTCAGCATTCCGATGATGATAATTCAAAATAAGTATTGTGCTGACGACGCTGCTGGCCACCATAAACATAATACAGTTGAAATACGTTCCTGCGAAAACATTGTATAATATATATAAGAGTGTCAGTGACATTTTATCAAACCGACGTTCAATTTACTTAGAATTAGAAAAAGTGTGACAAGGTAATTTCAATCAGAATTGAGCAGAATCGATCACGATTCCATTCAGTTCGATCGCGACGTCAATTTCAGAGCGTTTCCAATCAAGACGTCAGGGAGTGTTTGTTCGCCAACTCCGCGTCTGACCCGCACGATCCGTTACCACTGTCAGACGGACTACCGCTATCGCACAGCCACTGTTTAGTTCACGAACGCGATCGAGGAGGACTGTCGCGTTGGTAAAGCATAAAGGACTCGTCGTACAATCCACTCCTCTACGCGTTTGACCAGATCATGGTCTAAGATAATCGTGCGAACTACGTGCAGGAAACATTTTATCCGATACTAATAGATCCAAGCTTTACGGATATAATTGAAAAATACGAAAATTGAACTTCGTTTTAATATCGTTTTGCCTTGGTTACGTCTTCCGTATGTTGAACATATAGAATGCCTTGCAAATTTGAATTCAGAACACGGTATGCAGTTTAATGATGTACTTTAAATGGTAAAAGAGGAATTTTCTTCGCGTTGTAGACGTCATTATAATAAACTTCGACGTAGGGCACGTTTTGCCTTGCTCTATAGAGAAAATATACAATTTTTCCCAGTGGGTGGTATCAAGTTAGAATGTGAAACATGGTATGGCGACTATTATGCAATATCGTAAACTACGATATTTCCAAGGTGGAACCTTGCTCTAGAGAACAATGGTATTATAATGTATTGCATCAAGGAAACTATCTAAGTATACAGTGGCTCAAAAAAGTTATTGGTACACTTTTTAAAACGGAATAACTTTTTTAACACTAGAATTTCAAAACCGAACAAAATGACTGGTTTTGAACGCAGAAATGCATGTATAAAAAAAGTCAGTAATTCTACTATTAATATTGTACCAAACAAACATAATTTTTTATGAAATCCTAGAAAGCCTAGGCTTAGCCAGAAGGAATAGCTTTTTTAATATTCGACCAAACAACATAATTTTCCATAAAGTGCTACAAGACTTTGTTTATTATTTGATGCGTAATAAAAAATTTTAATAAATTTCTATTCGTCGAAGTAACAAATAAGAAAGTAAAGAACAGAGTTTTTAACTTTTTATCAGGCTTTCTAATAAAAATTTGAAACATCCCGTTTGTAGATCTAAACAAGTTATGTACATGTATAAAGTTTCATTAACATCGGTTAATGTCGTTCTAAGCTACAAAGATTAGAAATTTCATAAATCGCAGTTTTTCATCACTTTCAGTCTAAAATTCAGATAAATCGAAGAATTTTTACATTTATCGACGTGTCTAACTTTTTTCTACTTCCACCGATTTTTATGTAACTTCCTTAGATCTACAAATGGGATGTTTAAAATTTTAGTTAGAGATACCAATAAAAAAAAAATTAAAAAATGCAACGTTCACTTTTTTCTTCGCGATTATAACCAATAAAAAATTCCTGTTGCTCATTATATATAAAGTAAACTAAATCTATCGTACAAATGCTTATGCTGTCTGGTTCAATATTAAAAAAGTTATTCTATTTTAAAAAGTGTGTCGGTACTTTATTAAGCCACTGTACAATGTAATTTTAGTACGTGGATGTTTCAACTGAAATTGCTGTATTAATTCTAAAAATGTTCGACACTTTGATAGAACGAAATAATTACAATGACGTTCCAATTTCTGTTCGAGAAAAGACCATTTAAGTTGGAAATAAATTAAACTTCCTTCGACTCGAGTTAAAAACGTTCAACGATAGGATGAAGTTCTCTTTCCGCGCAATTACGAGCTAATTAAGGTAGAAATCACGAAGAACGACATTCCTCGAACAACCTTTTGTTTAAACAAAGAAGGTTCTACCCTTAAGGAAAAAGTTTGATGCAGCTCTCTGACACAGTCACTTTCGCCGTGAAATCGAGTTCTCTGGAATTGTGTGTCATTTCCTCAAAAATATAGTATCGTCTTTAAGTTTCGCGCGATATTAACCCGACCTACTTCCCAGAATCTCTGTCAGGTTCCTCGTCAGAAGTTGAGACAATTTTATCATAACATTTCCATGATGTAAAACTACGCTTTTAAATGTTTATCTTCATTAAGTGCATCTGCATA